ATCACTTGTAAAGCCTCATATAGAGTACTGTGTACAGTTTTGGGCTTCCTTCCTCAAGAAGGACATTGAATTGTTGGAGAAGGTTCAAAGAAGAGCCACTAAGATGATATGTGGGATGGTGGGATTGTCCTCTGAAGAGAGACTAAAATCTCTTAACCTCCTTTCTCTGGAGAGGAGAAGGGTCAAAGGGGATTTGATTGATAATATAGATCCATCAAGCTTTTATGTGGTTAGCAGTGAAAACAATAGGACAAGTGGTCACAAGTTCCAATTCTTGCAGTGTAGGAGTCATCTGCAGTTTAGACAGTATTACTTTTGAAACAAGTTGGTTGCCTTTTGGAATAAGCTGCCTTCAAGGGTGGTGGAGGCAGAAAATTTAACTGAGTTTAAGAAATGATTGGATGAATACACGAGTAGTAAGGGGTGGTTATAGTTGGAAGGGACATCCTTGATGGACTAATAAGCTCCTTTTTGTCCCTTTAAAATTTTATTTATTTATATTTATTTATTTAAACTCTAATGAGTGAAGATTTCTACTAAACTGACTCATTAAGATAGTGTCCCAGATGGACTAGATTTAATGTTACTTAGATAACTCAGTAATGTAGACTTACCCAGGGTAACCTGCACTAAACAATTGACAAGTCATTTCTGTTCAAACATAAGATAAGTTGTAACCTTGGGACACTACTTGACCTAGCATTGGAGGACATTGCTATCAATATCCATACAAAAGGTGCATCTTTACAGCTGCAACCTTCACAGGTGGATCAGTTATTATCTTAAGAGAATAACAAAGAACAAAGGTAACTATAACAAAATAACTTAACCCTGTGTTATGTGAAAACTGAACATGCTCAGAATAACTAACTAGAAGGAAGGCAGCTAGTCAACATTGCCCATTACTAATAATGCTTGGGTTACTCTCTACCAATAAACAGTAAGATTGACTGTCACCCCATGGCTGAAAGAGCAAGTTTGTTCGGTGATGGGTTTTGATCCCTAACACTCATATTTAAAGATATAATAAAAACAGATACAATTTTCAGATTGATAACAGATATACAAAAATTATTTAAAATAATTTTTCATACCTAGAGCCATCAAATTGTGCTAAATTCAGTAAAGAAATCTTCTTAATAGAAATAAATTGTATATTTAGTTAATATCCTAGGTTAAAGTTTTTCATTGTTTATTCCCATCTACTTGTGAATAAATTATATAAAGAATACCAATTACTAATTAGTAAAAAGCAGGTGAAAGTAGTTAGTAGCTGTGATTTATTGGAAGAAAACAACAGTGGAGTGGTATTTTCTTGGTCTAGTTCCTTAATATGCATACACAATATATTTGAAATTCTGTGGCCTCAGATGAGCCCTTAATCTTGCTTTAATATTGTTAGCTACTTTTTTAAGATCTTGATAATTCTGCTTTGCTGATCCCGGTATGTGTCATGTTCTTTGGATGTTCACAAAAATTATTCAGAGTGTGGAAGTTATTGGACCAAACACACTGTTATTAATATTCCATAACTGAATGTTGATGCCTTCTATATTATTGTTGCTGCAATGTAGTAGAAATAGACCTAACTTCTCCCCTTTCTCACTTTTTTTACAATGACCGTCGTATGGGTATGATGAATAAGGCAAATATAGAACATGCTAAAGAAAGCCTACTCTTGTATTACTTTCTCTCAGAAAAATATATATATATTAAACAAAAGAAGTACATATATGGACAAATAGAGGTGCAGTACTGTGGTGACTGTAATGATATCAAATTCACAAACGTTCAATTTATAAACCTAATAAAATTAAACAAGTATGCAAATAAAAGATATTTTGTGAAGGTGAAATAATACAATACACACTGTATAAAAGATAAACAATGACAAATACCACATATTTCACCTGTGAAACATTTTATTTTAGGTCAAACCATCACTTACTCTACCAGGAGGTCGAGATGTATATGGAACATATAAATGTAAAGCTGAAAACATGTATGGTATTGATGAGATTGATATAGATCTAAAAGAAGCATGTAAGTACATACATTTTCGTAAAAATTAATATTCCTTATGTTTTTATTTTGAGAATTTTTTTAAGGTACCAATATAGACCATTCACAAAATTTTGGTTTCCTGTTAAAATGAGTAATAGCATATAAAATTTTGATATTTATTGTGTTGGCATGGTAAAACTTTGGTACAGGCTTTCTAGTGAAGAAAAACTAGTGATAACTTAATAAATGGTTATATTAGCCATTGTAGTAATTTGTACTTTATAGCATTTCCAGCAATCTTGTAACTGTGTGAAGGCTGCATTTTCTGAAATATTTAATGTCTATTTAAAACAAGAATAGTTATTCATAGCTTATTATTTATTCAAACTATTTTCTGTTATATTACTTGAATGTTGGTATAATTAAACTTTGTACTTCTTTGATTAGTGATAAAGTTCTAACTAATACCTTTCAAGAGTAACTAAACATTTGCTAAAGTAACTAAACACACACTAGTAAATGCAACAAGCTGTCTTTTAGAACTAAATTTAATTTTAAATTACTCTTAGTTTATGGCACAGTTCTTCTGCATCTGTTCTTTCATATTGTTCCCATTTTCGATCATCTCCTCAGTCTCTTCCTCAATATTCTGAGTATCTTCCTCATTTTGCTTTTCTATCAATATAACAATCTTTTCAGAAGATCACACTCGCATTGAAGTTGGCAAGTTGAAATAGAACGTATCAGCTCCTACATTTAGCCTTTAGTCTGCATTCTTGTGTCTATCAGATTAACTCATTAAGATAGTATCCCAGATGGATTAAACCTAATATTACTTAGATGACTTGGTAATGTAGACTTACCCAGAACAACTGGAGGTCATTGCTGTTAGTCTGGAAGACAAGTAGCATTTGCACCAGACTTGTAAGGCAAAGTAGTATATCATTTTACATAAGTTTCTGTATCTATCAAGTGCTTCTCGAGGCTGATGAAAGGATGCAAAATGAGATGTATACTTGGGGAATCTGATTCTAGGATGGTGACTTATTTTAGTGAAACATCTTCTTAAACTGCTAGTTTGTAGTTTCTGTATATCTAGCTTTCTGGGTATATCTGTGCATTAATGGTCACAAATGCCAAGCAGCTTTGTAAGAAAGCATTTAAAAAAAGAAAAGAGCCATAAAGTGTGTTCTATATTTAGTAAATGATACTTGAAAGAAAACTGTCATTTGTGCCAGATGTTATTTCATCGTAGTAAAGTCCTAAAGGCAATTCTAGCTGTGATGGCATGAAACATTTATTGGTTTTGAATAGCTTCTGCTGAAAATTAACTTTATAAGATCTTTCAAGCTATTGTCTGTTTTGACATACATTTTTTTCAGATCTTCTGGGGAAAGACATGCTCTCTACCTCATTTTGTTTCTACTTTTATTTTCCATAGTGTTTGAAGTGAAGCAAAATTCCATATTTTGTTTTCTTTAATTACATGATAAACTTTAGTTTTTTAATGAATAATACTATAGTTTGATGTTTCAGTGTGTGCTTGAATCTCATACTTGCAAAGTGTTGGTGTAACAGATTTGCTCAGGCCAAAATCTGAATTATGGTGCTGATAAAATAGGAGAAGAATATTTAAGAACAATTTTGTAGTCTTAGAATATATGTGTTAGTAAAATGGAAATAACCTAAATTCCAAATAAAACTTGAAAATAACAATAAATAGTAAATAAAATCATAAATAACTAGAAACAAAACTTGTACATATCATAAATGTAACATTAAAGCAATTCTATAAGACTAAGAAACTTAAAAAAGTTACTTTTACCTGAAACATAAAACCTTTTAATACCTTTAACTGAATGTGTATAGGGTCAATAAGTTGGACCAATTTCATATTGGAGAAGTAATGTTGACTGTAATTCTGAATTTATGAAGTATATTTTCATGAAATGTGTCAAGTTTTTAATCAGCAGTACAAGTCTGTTGTACATAGAAAATCAGATGTGTTACTAAAGGTTTTGTATTAAAGATATATCTGTGAAATGGCAAAGTCAGACTGACTCAGATACTGACTAGTCAGAGTGAGGTTATATTCATGTGAAGAAACAAAATACCTTTGTCCATTGTAATGTTTGTAGTTTATATAACCTATACAACCTCCTAAAAACATAGCTAAAATGTTTTCAGTGTCCATATGTATTGTAGTTGAAATTTGTGCTACTCTGATATGACCTGTTGTGAAATTAGTGATGTAAGGTAGCATGAAATGGAGATAACTCTGACATCAAATGCATAATCCCCATACACACTTTGACACCCATCTGTGCACATAGAGTTAAAATTCTTACAAAAAATATTTATAGTTGATAATTAGCATCCCATGAAGGAGAGATTGAGAGGTGTCATCCTGATGAATTATATCAGGGGCACTGTGAAATCACTTTGGCCTTGAATTACTGTATACAGGTGTCCTGGGGTGGCTCCCCCAGGGTCAGTGGGCTGGTTCTGATTGGACCAGTGTTGGACGTTCTCAATGGGTGTTGTGGACATTGTGTCTAATGCTGGTGTTTGGGTATTTTGTCCATGAAACCCTGGGGTAGATGCATCAGTTGTGGTGGTTCCCACCTCTCATACTTTCGTTCTTGCCCTAAATGAGTGGAAGAAAAAGAGTTACAATATTTACATCCTAATAATAACATCTCTTATCCCAAGGCTCAGAAGTTTTTCTCCTCTTCTCCACCTCGGACATATGCTGCTGCACTCCATTTCACTACTACAGTGGTAGTGCAGGAAGACCTTTCTTTCACCATGAAAAAGTATTTTGCTCTTCATGGATTCAAGAGTTGATACATCTGTGTATATTCCTGTTTCTATCCCCACCATCACATCTAGTGACTGCTTGGGCCCCTCTCCAACAGCCCAAGGTGCAGGACTATTATTCAGTCATGCCTTCAGTCACTTCTGACAGAGATTTGCCCAACTGTCCCATGGAGGTCAAGAGACCTCTTTATTCTAAAGAAAAATATCGTGGCCACAAATAAAAAAGGTTCTCCATCCACTTCTTCTCCTTCTAAGTAAAAATGGCCCTTTAATACCGTGGAACTGTCAAGATTTTCTTTCTAATTTGTATAACATTAAGGTCTTGATCAATTCCTATAATTCTGTGTGTCTCTCCTTACAGGAAACACCCCTCAAACCTGCTGTTACTGTCACCTGTTGGTGGTTTACCTTATAATGGAATGACAGGATGAGTTCATTGAGGTGTGGGACTGCTGGTTGACCAGCATATACCCACCATGTCTGTTTCACTTAATACACCCCTGCAAGCTGTAGCCATATGTATCTCCATGGGTCATACCATCACTATGTATTCACTTTACCTGTCACCAGGAGAGATTTATGATCAATCACACCTTAATGCTGTTATTAAACAGTTGCCATCTTCCTTCTTCATCATGAGAGACTTTAATAGACACAATCCCCTTTGTGGTGATGCTGATATTGATGGGGGGGGGGGTGTCCTTCTGTGGAGTGTATGCTTTCAGATCACAATCTTTCTCTCCTCAATACTTGTTCATTTACCTATTTTCACTCACCTCATCAGTCTGTTACTGCTATTGATCTATCTATTTGTTCCCTTCACTTTTTGTCATTTTTCTTGGAGGGTGGACAATGACCCATGAGGCAATGATTATTTTCCCATCCTTTTGGGGGAGTGTGCCCACAATCATTGCCACCCGACTCATGTACCATGGTGGAAGTTGGAGCAAGCTGACTGGCTCTCTTTCACTGCTCTCTCAAAACTTGATTCTGCTGCCATTAGTCTTTTCACTATTAATGACTGTATGGAAGCAGTAACTGAATGCATTACTCAAGCAGTTGTTCATTCGAATCACAAAACCTGGACATGTTTCCCAGGGTGGATTTCTGACTGCCAGTGGATGCAGAACGCTCAGAAACGAGCCTGGGATTTTTTCAAGTATCCCACTCTTTCCAACTGCATTGCTTTCCAGTGGGTTCATGCTGGTTCAACGTAAAAGTCAGAAGGAATCCTAGATGATGCTCACCACCAGCATATTTTTTACTGCCAGTTCTAAAGTCGTCTGGGACAGGATTCAGCAGTTCAATGGTAAGTATGCTTCCCATCCCCTTTTGATCTTGCTCTCCAATAGCGAAGACACTTGGGTAGTGCTTTTCACAACTTTATAGCACCTCTGTCTCTTCCCCTGCCTTCTTGGCCAGGAACTCATGGGCTGAGCAATTGCTACTTTCTTTTCAGTAGATTGCCTCTATAACTGTAATCATCCATTTATGCTGATGTAACATAAACTTGCTCTTCATTGGTCTGGCAATACATTGGTTGGACCTGCTGATATTCATTATGAGATGCTGCACCATCTCTCTCCTGCCTCTCTTCCTCATTTTCTGGTTGCTTTTAGCCAAATTTGGCATAGGAATGTTTTCCAGATGTTGTTGCAAGACTGTTGTCATCCGTTTTTTTTAAGCCTGGGGACAATCCAAAGATTCCTTCTAATTATTATCCTATTGCTTTGACTAGCTGTCTCTGTAAGATTTTCGAGAGGATTAATATTGTCCATCTTGTTTGGTTCCTTGAATTAAACAACCTCCTCTCCCCCACCCAATGTGGTACTCCACCATAAACCACCTAATTCGTCTTGAAACTTCAATCAGGGAAGCCTTCCTCAAGAGGGAGCATCTTGTTTCAATGTTATTTTTTCTTGAGAAAGCTTTTGACACTACGTGGAGGTATGGAATTTTACAGAACCTCCACATCTATGGGTTGCATGGCCATTTGTCCATTTTTATTTGTAGCATTTTACTCAACAGGAGTTTCCAAGTCTGCATGGGTTCAACCTTGTCCAATTTCTTCACACAAGAATTTGGAGTCCCTCAGGCCTATGTCTTGAGTGTCACACTTTTCAGTATTAAGAGTAATATTATCACTGAACAACTCCTTCCTACTATTATAAACAGCCTTTATGTCAAGGACTTCCACTTTTCTCATTGGTCATCCAACATGAGGTTTATTGAGTTGCAGCTTCAGACTGCTCTCACTCTCTTGTTGGGGTGGGCCCGAGCAAACAATTTTACCTTCTCACCCTCTAAAACCATTTAAATTCATTTTTGCCACCAGTGGGGTTTGTACCCTGATCCTGAGCTCCGTCTCTTTAGTGATATTCTTCCTGTGAAGGCTGGGTCAAAATTCTTCGGACTTATAATTAATTTCAAGCTGACATTTATTCCTCACATTAAGCAGCTTTGTGTCAATTTACCAAGGCATTGAACATCCTCTGTGTCTTCTCTTTGACTTCTTGGGGGAGCAGATAGTTGTTCCTGCTTAGATCTATCATGCCCTCATATAATCAAAGCTGAAATATGGGTCTGTGGTTCAGCTAGGAATTCTATCTTGAAAATATTGGACCCTGTGCACTTTCTGAGGCTTTGGCTCTGCATAGGGGCTTTTCACACTTCACCAGTCCAGAGTCTGTACACTGAGTCCCATGTACCTTCTCTTCACCTCAAATATTTGTAATGTTCTTTGTAATATGCGACCAAGCTTACAATGGCATCCTAGCTTGGGTTGTTTCTTCCTTCTTCAATGGGCTTTCCTCTTTGAGAGTCAGCAGTCTGCCATTTCTCCATTTGGTCTTTGTATCCAGCATAGTTGGCTGAATTAGGTTTATCATTTGATGATATAACTGAGTCCAATGATCAGCCCATCCATCCATGCTCATTACATTTAACCTTTCTTTGAGTCATCTGAGGATGACAGATACTCCCAATTGGAAGTACTATTATCATTTTGCCAAATGTTTTTTTATACCATTCTTCTGTTCTCATTTTTATGCCCTCAGTTTGATACATGACATTCCTTCTTGAGCCTTGCTGGTGGCACCTCTTTGGGTAGCTTAGCCTTGGTTTCTTCTGCTTCTTTGCTTAGCATCCAGAATTCCTTCCTCCACCCAATGTCCTCTCTCTCTTTTGCTTCAACACATCCCTTTTTCATCACAGGATGTTGTCCCTCCATCTTCATATGTGGGATTTGTCCGGTTCATTGCCTGTTGGACCAGACTCTTTTCATTATATAACCTTATTGTTATATTTCGATTTCCCACCATGTCTGTCTATCAACAAAAGTGCAGGTCTTTCATTATTGATTCATCTACCACTCCTTTTCTCCCACCCATTCTATTGTGAACCACCTTTTTGTCTTTTTACTTGGCTGTTTGACAATGATTTGCAGGTCCTCACCATTGTAGGTTATCAGGAAGCTTTGTCTACTACATTTTGTCTTTCCTGGTATAACAGGGTGTTTTCTTCACCTGTCCTGTCCACTCTTTTCTGCTCCTTCATTCTTCAGTAGGTGTCTGTGACTTGTTGATGATAAATGAACAGCATGCACTTGTTTTCAAAATAATATATATATATATATATTTGGAACAAATTAAATGTATGTACAACAAATTCTTCACACTATAGAGGTTATAGGCATATCATAAACACTATATATATATATATAGTTCTCTTCTTCTTGTCAAAAGTCCACTTTAGAATTTCAGTTGACAAGCTGAACTATCTTCTCTATTACTATTGCACCAGTATTCTGTGTGTGATTCACTTACAATTGTGGCATGAGTAACCATAATTGTTTGGTCTTCTTTCATCAAAATATCCTCTGTTCCTTTTGTCAAAGTGTACTCAGGCTGATTCAATTCCTTTAGAACCACACTTTTGATGGAATAGATTATTATTCTTATCTCTTTTTCTACTGTTAGTCTTATTCTAACATATTAAATGTTACGCCTATGTCAATTGTTAGGCCTATCACTTCTACGGTAGTTAAATTCATGCTGAAATTTTCCTTTCCCATAACTTTACTCTCTTCTGCTATTGTCTGTCTGTTGTTTTTATGCATCTCACACTATTTATATGTTTATCACTTCATTGTCTGCCTGCCTTCTAGAAATATCTATATTGTTACATATCTGCTTGTTTGTTAATTTCCAGTAGAAATTCATTCCGAGGAACTTCAGTGATACAAGTCCTTTCTTGATTAAACCAGTTTATTCTTTCTCGATACAAATTTTTAGTACACAGTAATTCCACAGTCAGTATGTTTCTCATCACTTTAAACTTAACAACTTTTATAATACACGCTATAAATCACAGCGATTCACAATCTCACTAACTTCGCTCTCTACGAGTGCAAAACACACACTAGCTTGAAACAGAATTGTAAATTACCCAAAACTTACCGTAACTACTGTTCACTTTATCATCTCCTGGCTTTTCTCTGCCAGGCTTATATGCTAACAAAGAGGCATCTCTAACATTTACAGAGTTCCCCGATTAATCGAGAAATTCACCATGCGTGCATGAGTTGCCATGAACAGACATGATCTTTCTAGAATCTCATGACATGTTACTAGCGTTACATGACTTCTGCTGTCATAACAGTATGTTACATGTGTATATGTGATGTATGAGAGACATTTTTATGCACAGCAGTGATGGTTATAAAACAAATCTGACTTGGATAACAAAGAGGTTAGCATTAAAAATTATATTTTTAATTACAAATTTCAACCAATGCCTTAGTTACCAAGTGGCTGTTGTCAGGATATGAATTAGTTTTGATAACATATCTTATGTTTTTCTCTCTTACATGCTTATTTTTCAAATAGAATGGTTAAAGGACCAAAATTTCATGAAAATATATTAGGAATACTTTAAAAATCCACTAATGATATAAGTCATATTCAACTAAAACATGTAGCTATATTGAAGCTGGTAGTTACTGAATTTGTGTGGAAAAAGAATGATGGCAGTTACAATATATGTGTGGAGTTTGATTTTTTTCTGCTGGTATGCACTTTCCAGCTTTTCGCTAGAAATTTGTTTCTTATGTTGAACATATCTTTTAATTTAATTGTGTAAAACAAATTTATTATTCATTATGTAAAACACATTTAAAATCAAGAACATCTTCCATGCAGTCACAATAAAGAGATTCAATGAGTGGTTTGATTAACCACCATGTAGCTAATTGAGACTTTTTTATATTTCTTACAAGTATGTAACATATTGTTACGACAACACAGGTAATGTGACGCTTGTATCACGCCACTTCCTTCTCGAACCTTCATGAAATGTCGGGAGACTAC